GGGGGGGGGGGGGGGGTGGGTCGTCCAAATTTCTACCCCTAAACACTTCAACACTCCTTTCAGATCGTGTTTCACAAAATCAAGCCAAGCACGAGTTATCAATAGTTTACTTCGTGTTTTCGGGAGATTTCTCCTAAAAATTGAGAGATAAGCTTAAGGGAACTTCTCAAAAAAACTGTCATATTCAAGTTTTGGTGGAGTTTCATTTCCTTTTATAAGCGATCATAGCTTTAGATCTTCATCTCATTCATATCGAAAAATATTTCGCTTTTAGTTGAAAAAGATTCGTTGCTGCACCAAGCGATATTGAATCAGGCCGATGTATAGAATCATTTTTTTTGGGTGCATGAAGCTTAAGTAATTTCTTATTACAAATAGGTTATGATGTCGAACTAGCTAAAAGAAAACTAGCAGCAGAACAATAAAACATTTCTTAAAACAAATAAGTCTTTATTTTCACTAATATTTTCAGAAATGTATTACAAAAACAACTGCTTTCATAACCACTTTATTCATTTGATATTCCCATATGAACAACCATATCAATTAGTTTCTCAATGTTATTCACACAAAGCATTTGTAAAAACTTCAAAACACTTGGCAGAATTGGTTTCAGTTCATATTTTGTAAATGATGTCATATCTGTAATAGCTCTACGTTTTCAACTGAGCTATATTGTTTACTTGAATTTCAGACATGTTTTCAAAAGTAAAACTGAACATTTTTTGTTGTCGACATAATACTGATTTTTTCGTTTGATCTGATTTGATAAATGAATGGAGTCTACAACCGAGTACTTCACCATATATTGCACCAACTTTTGGTCATGTTGCATGTAACGATGCAACACATAATCGTTGTTCGGATATGAGTGCGGCTCTTAGAGTATGGTGAGTAGAAGCTAATCTTGACATCCATATCTAAACCTAATGATCGTTACAAAGACACTCCCGCAACCGGTATTGTTTTTAAAATCTTAACATTGAGAAAAAAGAACAACGTATTCTTTTTTTATGATTACTCTTCAAACAAACGGCATTCACTTTACATATAAGGCATATGACGCTAAAATTGGGGTGTGGGTGTGGATGTGGGTGCGGGTGTGGGTGTCGGTGTGGGTGTCGGTGTGGGTGTGTGAGAAAAGGGAACATCTACACCCACACCCACACCCTCTGAGAGGAACTTAAGATATGAAAGATTTAGCTATGACAAAATACAAAACAATCAACACTCATTTTATTTGATTCTAGAACTTGCTTCATTGTGTTATCTCTCTTGAAAAGAATCCATTACTTGTTTATTCTTTCGTTTCATCTGTATTTTCAAAGATATTTGATTCATCTTATGAAGTACTTATTTTCCATGTAATATCTTGTTTAATTTTCTGTAAGATCAAAATTATTCGAAAGATTAAAAAAATAATACTAACGAAAGAGCCTTGATGAAGCCGTTGCATTTACGCCAAATAATCTTTACTCGTCATTTCGTACAGGGTCTTAAAACATTTTTATTTCCACAAACTAATATCTATGATAAGAGAAAAAACCTTATACATTGTTAGTACTATGATTTGATGAAAGAAAGATCTACTCAATACTAATTGTTGAAAACGTATTCTAAAGAATTTATAGTTCCTTCAAGACATACTTTTGCTCAAGATATTCATTAGAAATCTTCCTTCTCCATGTCAATAATACGAATCATATGTATTGAAGTTGTTTTATGCCTTAGACTAAAGCATAGTCTTGTGTAAAAATATTTTCATTAATCCGTTCTACTCCATGCATGTCAATATATTGCGAAAAAGGATGAGAATAATTTTGAAACATACATGTTTGTTCACTTGCTCTCATATTCACCGTTTCTGCATACCAAAAGGGTCCCGATACAAGTAAATCAATCAGCTACAAACGATCCGAAAAATAAAGATGATGTTTCTCTTACAAAATACTTTTTCTTTCTTTTTCTAACTTATCCTTCGAACTAATACGAAAAGAAAAACATTGCAATGCGAGCAAAACAATCACATTCATATCATCGAAAACATAGTTTATTTGTTCTCTTACAGATTATAACCATTGATTTAACTAATGTTAATGATAATATTTATATAGTAATTCTTTGAATGGGATGTGAGTGTGTACTATGTCTACAGCTATTGCTTTACTGAATCTCTTTTATTTTATTTCGAGTTTCGTGAAGCAAATGCTCTCTCTTCAATAGATCATGACATATCGATGATGTTTCTTTCAAGAAAAGAGATCGTGCACGTAGGTAGAGAATCAAAGAAAAAAAAGAGCCTCAAATAATGTAAGACATGAAATATGTGTAAATGTAAGACTTCTTTTCATTTGGATAAAAATTCATACCCACACTAGCGTTTCACAATAAAGAAAAAAAGGAAAGCAAGTAAGTAAATTAAAATCAATCTACATATGCAATTGACAATGTCAATATTGTACAATAAAAGAAAAAAAAAAGCTCAATCATAATCAATAATTTAAGAAGACTTCTTGATTAAAATCAATAGAAACAAGCTAAACTTTCTAATAGTTGTGTAAAATATGAAAAAAAAACATTATAATTAAAAATTGTCGATAAAACAATGATAGTTCATTGAAAGTTTGAAGATGCCATTCATATTTAGGTAATATTTAACAAGACTTTAATGAGTAACTATTTGTCTTGGAATATATATATACGTAAGATATTCTTTTTGCTAATCATTGCTACATCTATTTTTTCATCATTATTAAAATCAGTAGCTACTGCATCAGTTGGAGAAGTAACAATAGTATTAGTTTGCTTGTAAGGAAAAGATGCGTTTCCATCACTAATCAACATATACAGTGTACTCCATTGATTACTGATTACTCCTATGTCCAGAATTTTATCATTATTGAAGTCACCGGACAATAAAAGACCTGGACTTCTACCTGCATTAAATTTGTTTTGACCTTGAAAACTTCCGTTTCCATACCCCAGATAAACACTTATTGTGTCTTCACCTTGATTAGCTACTACTAGATCACTAATTTGGTCACTGTTCAGATCTAGTGCTATTACAAAACTTGGACTCTTTCCAGTCCTATACGATCCTTGAGATTGAAAGGAGCCATTTCCATATCCTAATAAGACACTGATATTTTGACTACTTAGGTTAATTACTGCTAGATCCACTTTTTTATCTTTGTTAAAATCACCTGACACTGCAGCAATTGGTCGTGTACCGGTGGCAAACGAGTTAAGAGTTTGAAAGCTGCCGTTGCCATTACCAAGTAAGATACTAACAGTGTTGTCTTTTTGATTGAAAACTGCTAAATCTAATTTATTATCACCGTTGAAATCAACTACAATTAAGAAAAATGGCGAGACTCCACATGGATAGTTACCTGCGTTTTCTAAGGTATTGTACTTAGTGGTCAATAGTATGGTAACACTTTGATTACCTGGATTGACTACTACTAAATCTGTTCTATTGTCATTATTGAAATCACCAGCTGCCATGTTGTTTGAAGTTTCTGGGAGCATAAACGGTATTCGAGCTCGGAACGTACCATCTCCATTTCCTATTACTAGACTGACACTGTTTGCTAGATTGTTGACTACTATCAAATCAGGAGTTGCACCGTTATTAAAAACATTCGCCATAAGAAAAATTGGTCCTTTTTCAGTAACATACTTGACTTCCGGCTGATATGTTCCATCTCCATAATTTATTAGTATGCTGATTGTGTTGGCATCCATGTTCGTTATGGCAAGATCTAGTCTGCCATCATTGTTGAAATCAGCAGCTACCACAGCGGTCGGATTATCGCCAACTTCATAATATACTCCACGTTGAAAACTTCCGTTGCGATATCCCAATAGTACATTAACATAAGGTCCACCTGAAATAGTTGCTACCAGATCCAAAATACCATCCTTGTTTAAATCCGCCGCTGCCAAACCACCTGTACCATTACCGACTTCACAAGGTACTTGAGTCTGGAAGGCTCCATTTCCATCACCAAACAAAATACTAATAAAATGGCTTCCATTATTAGATATTGCCAAATCCATTTTTTTGTCATTATTAAAGTCTCCCGATACCACAACGGCTGGTGTTTCCCCGACATTATAGGTGACTGAATCGTTAAAATATCCATCTCCAACACCAATCAGCACAGTAATATTGTTATCATCTTGATTGACGACTACTAGATCCAAGATCAAGTCAGTATTGAAATCAGCATATATCATAGAACTTGGATATTCGCCAACGTCAAGCCATTCGTAATATTCATATGTTTCATCATGAACATCAAAAATTAAATACACAGTGTTTTCAAAGCTATTTAACACTGCCATATCGATAATTGAATTATTATCGAAATGTCCGCATACAACAGAAACTGGTCCCACGCCAACTCGAAAATCTGTCGCGTAATCCAATGTTCCATCTTTATTGATATTGAACAGGGTGATAGTTCCATCATTTCTATTAACTACGATAAGATAACTTGTGTTATCACTCACATTGCACAAAGTCACAAAAACTGGATCTGTACCGGTATCAGTTTGTATTAGTGTCGAATAGATACCGTTTGCATTTCCAAGCAGTATATCAATACTTTGATCTCCAGAGTTCAATATAGCCAAATCTACATATTTATCACCATTGAAATAACCAGACACTAGAGAAATTGGAAAACTACCTATGTCGAACGTTGTTCCAGATGGATATGGATTTGTGAACACGTATGCTAGAAAAATAAAACAATTTAAATGCATAATTTTTCTTTCGCGCTACGTTCTTTGAGTAGCTTGTTTTTTTTTCTCAAACACAATTTGAAAGGCGAACTGAAATGCATCGGATAGAGATTTTTAACCTAGTCTTCCCTCATTCGTTCTCCATAGACAGTGACAGAGAAATTCTAACTCAAAAGCATACCAGATAAACTGTTAACTGCAAATATATCACAAAAAACAGAGTAAAATGGTTGCAATTTAATTAGTAGCAACAGATGTACATCATTTCACATGTTTAATTCCGTAAGAGAGTGCACTAACAGTTTTTTTCACAACATAATCAAATATTCAAAAACCATTGTTAGTTTAAAAGGAATACTGAGACAGAAAATATTTCTCGTCGTACAAATCCTATTTCTGTAAAGTATTCAATCATTTCTTTAAGTTTTTTGATTGAAAAAATCAAAATTATGATTTCAAGGATTAGAACTTCATGCGTAATGCAGTAAAAAAGTGGACCATGTCATACGACAAATTCTTAAGAAAACATACCTAGCTCCAGTTGAAATTACAAAAGTTTGACTTACGTCAAGTACTACGATGAACTGATGAGTATGTGAAACATTTTCATAAAAGTTTTTACCACGAAAGAATCAGAATGCATATGTGAAGAAATCAGAATAGCAGACTTTTAGATAGAAATAAACGAAAGAAAAGTATTATATTCAACTTAAAATTCAAATAAAATTCTTTCGATATGCAAGTATAGGTTAACTTGAAAAAGAGCTAAATAACGTCAAAACGCGTACATACGCGGCTCTTTATTTGCTGCTCGTGTTCCAAGAATAGCACCAACAACAGTGGCTACGATACACATAGTTATTAATAAAGCTAATGGAATAACAAATCGCTTCTTCCGATACCACGGACGTCTAGATCATCGATTAAAGGAAAGATTAGTCAGTATCATAGTTCAATGATTATATAACGAAACTTACTCAAGTTTTGGATATAAGCGTGCACCTAGCAACGAACAAGAAAAGAATTAATTTCGAAACAATGATGAAATTTATTCAAATTACCTTCAAAAGGAAGCTCAAGAAGTGTTTCATCCGGTATGACTTGTTTTAAGTGAATGATATAAAGATCAGTTGCCGGGCTAAATTGTGATTGAACTATCATATGAGTACCGGGTAGAAGTAAAATTTCATCTTCCGTAACAAAATGTGAATGATTACGAATTGTTCGTCCATTGATAGTTTCAACAGAAAACAACGTTCGTGCACCTGTAGTACCCAAATACATATTATTTTCAAGCACTGTCAGTTCCGTTGTAGTTGATGAAAATGCCCACCATGTCACACGAGTACCAGGTGGAAAATCGATACTCAAATTTTTAGTTACTCCTCTCCACACAGTCAATGGTGGACAACATGGTAATTTGACTAAAGCAGTCAAGAATAGTTTCATATACCGAAAATAAGGTCGAAGGTCTTCACGACTGCAATTTTTCAATGTATAATTAAGCATGGAATAGAGACTTCGGTGTGGTGCTTCCCATTCGATTGTATAAAGACGAATGGCTGCACTCTCATCCATTGTTAGTCCATCGGGTGGTTCTTCGGGAGTTTCTTCAAGTGCCATATTAACATAATACGATAAATCGTGAAGAACATCATTTAGAGGAGCGCATGCATCAACAAGAGGTAATAATGGCTCGTTGGCATATTCAATAAGTGGAGCTTCATCTGTTCCAAGCTTTTCGGCTTCATTGGTCACTTGTTTATTTTCTTCCACGACAGGAGGTGGTGCAACTCGCTGTTTTTCGGTCTCACCATAGTTAATTGTACCATCAACATTCTCATCGTGTGCATATGTATAATCTTGGTTCGCTATTTCGTTTTCATCTCCGTTCAAGTTATGCAATGAATTATTGTTGAAATTGACATTTTTTCGTTTAACCTTTTTTTTATGCTTCTTTCGGACATTATTATTCATGTGTTGCGTATTTTCATTTTCTGCATAGAAAGTATCAGGCA